AAGTACACCTAAATGTAGCCACAAACCATAATAGAAATTGGTACCTCACTTTTTAAAGTTATCATGCTTACAACATGCCCAGACTGATGGAGGGTATTTCCAGTTCCTCCTCTTCACTCAGTGACGTCACCTGCAGAGGTGAAAACTCTGGTTCTGTGCATCAGCCCCAGTCAGGACAGACTCTTGAGTTCTACATCGTATGTGCTGCACAGTAAAAAATAAAAATATATACTGTGTGTGCATTTAAAAAATAAATGATAAATATCAGCTAACACTATATATATGCCATGATTTAGGTTTTGCAGTTAATGTAACTGACAGCAGGTGGGGCTGATGACCTTTAACCACTAAATCCTTACATCAGACACAAACATGCAAACAGCAGCTACATTTGGACTGTGGAGGACAGAATGTGACAAAATGAAACAAATAAATACATAATAATGAAATGTATCACTTAAATATTAAATGCATCATTAAATACACAATTAAATACTCAATTAATTGATTAAATACACAAGTAAATTATTTGTTTCATGATTTATTTATTCATTTAATGTGATCAATTAAATGATACATTTAATTATGTTTGTATTATGTATATTTATGTCATTTTGTCACATTCCGTTGTCCTGTTTAAAAAAAAAAAAAAAGCTTTAAAAATGAATCTTCAAAAACAGTTCTATAACTTACTCATGCACATTATTCCTTAAGCCTGATCAATTATGTGCATGGTTGATGTTTGGTTCTCTGGGTGTAATTGGTTTTAAGATTTTATGGACAAAAAAAAAAAGATTTTTAGTGACATTTTGAAATAAATAAATCCTTAAACTTGAGCTAACCCTGCAGAGCAAAACAAAGAAGACTTAAGCGTATACTACACAACAATGGTGCCCGTGTTTACAAGACGTCTAAAAGTTAAAAAAGGAACTGAACCCATTTTGTTCTTGGCTGAAGCTATTTTCAGTTCAGACTGGAATGTACGAGGTTGCAAAATTGAATTGCAAACCTTAAAACCAGACTGAAGAAGTCTTTTGGATAAAAGACGAAGCGTTTCAACACAGAAGACAACCTTATTAGATTTATCTACCTGCATGATCGAGCACTTTAAACCAGTCATAAAAACTATAAAACGTTGTCATTAAAACAGTTTACTGCAGATACACAAATCAGAAATGCAGGTATGCACAAAGTACTTGTATCTGCATACTTTCCTCCACAATACTGAGCGTAAATATGCAGATACAAAATATTGTGGCGTCTCCATCTCAAACGGCTCTTTCATGGACTTCACGTTGTTTACATGTTTTTAGTCACTTTAACAGTTTTCACACAAACACGTGGAAGTTAAAGGACACACGTTTAATTAAAGGCTTTCTGGATCCATCAGTATTTTTAGAAGTGCATATTTTGTTTGTTACTTTCTGGCTGGTCTCCATGACTTTTGAACTACATGTTGGTGCTTCACTTTCTGTTTAACCCACTCTGGAAAGTACTGTACATTTAAAGCAGCACAGTGTCTTATTTTAACTCGGTTCCTGTGATACTGAGGGTACCGGTACCAGAGTATCGGTATCCGAGAATGTGACACCATCATGATTCATCCGAACCGGATTTCTGGGACTCGGGGGTTGTTTACAGCATCTTCCTGGGCTCCGCCATCATCTGCTCAGCACGCTCAGACACACGCGGTGTTCACGCGTCGCTTCTGGTCGCTGATTGGTCAGAGCCGAGGCAAACAAACTTCTCGACCAATGGGAGCGCTGCTCACGCGCTGTGCACTCGGGCTCTGCGTGCTCCGCCCTTCATAAAACATCTTGCGTCTTTGTTGACGGTAGAAGGAAGTGAATACAGCTGCTGAGTGTTTGAGGAGCTTCGGGAGAGTCAGTCGACGTTTAAAGCGGTTTTATTTTGTAGCGACAGTCAAACAGGAAACATGGTGGCCATGACGAAAAAAGTCAAAACCTTCCAGGTGGTCCTGTCGGACCCGTGCAAGTCGTTTTACTGCGGAGGGGAGCGGGTGTGCGGCCGGGTGGAGGTGGAGGTGACCGAGGCTCTGCGAGTGTCCGCCGTCAAGATTCTGGCTCTGGGCCGGGCCAAGGTGGAGTACGCTAAGGGCAAGCAGCGGTGCCGACAGGAGGCCGAGTATCTCCGGCACGAGGAGGTCCTAAAGCTGAGCGAGCAGCCCACAGGTAGGTACTTCCTGTCCGCGTCTGGACCGACCTGCGTCCTGGTCCGACCCAGAGAACTTAACGCAGTTTGTCCTTCCAGACACCGATGGATCCGTGCTGCTGAGACCTGGCAACAAGTACGAGTACAGCTTTGGGTTTGACCTTCCTCAGCAGGGGTAAGTGGAGCTTTGCTCTCCAAACATTCATTGTTGTTCAGTGAAGGTTTTAATCTGCTCCTGGTCGCTGCCACAGCCAGCTGGTGTCCTCCTACAAGGGAAAGTTCGGCTACGTCCAGTACTTCGTGAAGGCCATGCTGGAGAGGCTGCAGCAGCCCACCATGGAGTGCAGGAAGTCCTTCGAGGTGGAGGAACCTCTGGATGTCAACACCCCAGACCTGCTGGTGAGTTGGGCCAGATGTTCAGTCAGAAACCAGCCAAATGGGTCAAACACACCTGTTAACAAAGGAATGCATACTGCCCACTACCTCTGGCCAGTTAACAAGAAGTGGTTGGTGGTGGTACCAGTACCTCAAGTACTTGTACTCAAAGAAACACTCCACTTGCCAGTAAATTGTCTGTAGTTTAGAGATGTTTAAAGATAAACGGGTGAAGTTAAAGCATCAGACTGTTGTCTCTTGTGTTCTTAAAAGCAACGTTTTTAAAGTCGTTTAGGTACTGACTCGTTTAAGACTTTGTGTCGGCACGTACCCAAACTAAAGTACTTATACTCCTCTAGTAATTGCTGGAGGCACATCAGCTGTTGAATGTTTGGAGCCAATTCAAGATGGCTGCCACAGCCAACTGACCTTAGTAAACCCAAATGGTTACAGCTCAGTAGCTTTCACAGGTTTTGTGCTACACTTTGTCCGAGTAGCTGCAAGGTTTTCATTTTTTACGAGTTCTATTCTAGGTTTGACCTAAAAATCCACAACGTTTTAATTTCTCAACGTGAAGTGATCTTAGTTTAAAACCAGCATGGAAGGCAACGGGTGAGTCATTCGGGGAACTTTAGTTGATCTCGCTATGGGAAAATTGGCAGGAAGTGGTGTTTGGGTGGTAGGTGGAAGAGAGTCTGGAGAAGTGAAGGGTTTTTAAGAGAAGAATAAAAAGACGGGGAATCCTTGGGTGCGGATGAGAGGGAGAGGTGGAACAGTGGAGCTGAGGGGAGTAGAGTAGAAGAGGGTTAATGATCCAAAGAAATATGGGGGGGCAGAAAGACAGCTGTAGGAAGAGGACACTGGAATATGATGAGCTGGAGATGGATGTCCACAAACGTGACTCATGGAGCGATGTGGCTGACTCTGTTCTTCCTGTGTCCTCAGTCTCCCACAGGCGGAATGAAGGAGAAGAAGGTCACCTGCATGTTCATCCCTGACGGCCAGGTGTCGCTGAACGCCAAAATCGACCGCCGCGGGTTCTGTGAAGGCGAAGACATCTGCATCAATGCCAAGTTCGAGAACACCTGCTCCCGGATCGTGATACCCAAAGCTGCCATCATTGCCAAGCAGACGTACCAGGCCAACGGGCGCACCAAGGTCTTCCGCCAGAAGCTGTCGTCGGTGCGTGGAAACCACATCATCTCAGGCATGTGCGACGCCTGGCAGGGGAAGACCATCAGGGTGCCGAAGCTCAAACCGTCCATGCTGGGCTGCAACATGATCCGTGTGGAGTACGCGCTGATGGTGAGTCTGCAGTTTCTGGGCTGCCTGAGATGTTTGTTGAAGAAGCCTCACTGACCTGCTGGTTCTGGTCTATTTCTCAGATCTACGTGCACATCCCGGGCAGCGAGAAGCTGATCCTGGAGCTTCCTCTGGTCATCGGCACCGCCGGCCTCGGCAGCCGCAGCAGCAGCGTGAGCAGCTACGACGGCTCGGTCAGCACCGCCTCCCAGAGCTGGGTGTCGCTCCGGATGCCCTCGAACCCCCCCAGCTACTGCGACATCACCAAAGACGTCCGCCTGGACCAGCCCCTCACGCCCCTGCTGGACGACGTGGACTGCGACAGTCCCATCTTCATGGACGCTCCGGGCTTCCAGTTCCCACAGCCTCCGGCGTACACCGAGGTAGGTCCCTAAGACAGGTCCTCAGACAGGTCCAGTTTGGACGTCAAACCCTGAGAACTTGCTTTGTTTTTCCAGACTGATGGAGAGTGCAACGCCAACACCCGCATGCTGCCTGTGTGCTGAGGTCCAGCTCAGACTGTTCCTCCGAGGAACTTTCCAGAAGCAGGAGCTCCAGACTTCAGCCGAGACCTGATGCTGAATGTAGACCTGGAGCCAGGACAGTGGACCTGAACAGAACCTATCGCTGTGCTTTATCTGTGCAGATCCTGAGCGGTGGCCCTGTTACATTTCTGTGTGCGCTGTCGCCTGCAGAGACTGTGGGCGTCTTTGTTTTTCTTAAGGACGCTGGGACCCGGTATGGTCCGGGTCGGACGGGTTTGTTCCCACGAATCATTCCAGCCTTGTTTTCAAAGGAGGAGCTGCCATCTTTGTTGGGTTTGCTGTGTTGAAGAGAACTTGTTTCCACATGGATCATATTTCCAAACAGCAGAGTTTAAATGTTTTTTCTGCCTTTTTTTTTTCAGCACTTTGTGATTTTCAATCTGCTCTTCTGCTGCTGAACTCTTCACCTCTGTTGTTTTCACGTGGAAACCGTAAAGTTGTAAAAACCCTCGTCTGATGTCTGCATGTTGTAACGTTTCTGACACTTAGTGCCAAACTGATGGAAGACTTGTGCTCCGATTGATCCAAAGCACCTTATTAGAGTTTGGGTCATTTGCTTTATCTCTGGACCTTCAGGGCTCCACGAGAATATTGGGTTTGACTGATTTGTATAAAAGTTTTTCATGTTGTTCAGTACAGAAACTATTTTTTATATCAAACCCTATGGGTCAGAATTTTTTATGAATAAAAACAGTTCAAAACGTCCTGAGTGTTTGTTTCATGACATTGCTGGAATATAAATGTATTTTCATCAAGTACTTTAAAATAAAACAAGTGGATGCATAAGTATTCACCTTGAAGCAGGTCTGCCTCAAGAAATCTAGCAAAGGTCCACATCCAACATGTTCTCTGTTCAGACCTGAACCTCTGCTGCAAACAGGAATTACTAAACTAGAAAAGATGGCGTAACATGAAGGCTGACCCAACAAAATATTTGCAAGTAAAAATACTGTACAGTATATAAACTTTCTACTGGGTCTACATAATATTCTGGGTCTGAATGAGAAGGTTCTCTGCAGACCAAAAGTGGGTGTTTTTGGAGAATAGGTGTTTCTAAAGGGCAAACACTGGCTATCTGTTTTCTGGCTCTGTAGGTAAGTTACTCTGTGGAAGCCTGTTTCTTCCATGAAAGAAAAAATAAAAGCCCAACAGGAAGTCATAATTTCAACTTTTAAAGTCATAATTTTGACTTTTAAAGTCATAATTATGACTTTTAATCTCGTAATTATGGCTTTAAAAGTTGAAATTATGACTTCCTGTTGGGCTTTAATTTCATAGCGCAAATGGGCTTAGATTCTAAATGCTATATAAAGTGGCAATGAAAAGATGTATATATTACATTTATTTAAAAGAATTTATGTTTGAAGGCAGAGGGACATACATTGAATGAATGAATCCATGTGCTATGCAGGAAAACTACCGGTGTCTGACAGGAAGTTGCATCCCGTAGAGTCACGGTGTCCGGCAAGGGACAAACTTTGAAATTAAATTAGAAAACACGAAATTATGACTTAAAAAAAAAAAGTATGACTTTTATTCTTGTAATTATGACTTTAAAAGTCGAAATTGTGATTTTAAAAGTCTAAATTATTACTTTTATTCTAATAAGTATGACTTCAAAACTCAAATTTATGACTTTATTCTTGTAATTAGGACTTTAAAAGTCGAAATTGTCATTTTAAAAGTCTAAATTATTACTTTTATTCTAATAAGTATGACTTCAAAACTCAAATTTATGACTTTATTCTTGTAATTATGACTTTAAAAGTCGAAATTGTGATTTTAAAAGTCTAAATTATTACTTTTATTCTAATAAGTATGACTTCAAAACTCAAATTTATGTCTTTATTCTTGTAATTATGACTTTTAAAGTCAAAATTATGATTTTAAAAGTTGAAATTATGACTTTTATTCTAATAATTGACTTTAAAACTCATAATTATGACTTTTAAACTCAAAATTATGACTTTTATTCCTGTAAATATGACTTTAAAAGTCGAAATTATGACTTCCTTTAGGGTTTTTTTTTTTTTTCATGATGGAAATGGCCCTCTTTTTTAAAACTGAAGGCTTCTAAGAAACAACGTTATAGCTGCTGCCAAACACAAGAAGATTCTCTTTAGTTCTTGGTTGTAGCTGCACCTGACACAGGATGGCTTGAGTGTGGTTTGGGTACAATGAAATATGAAACATCTGAAGCGAAACCTGTGCCTATTTGTCAAAAAGTCTGGTCTCAATTAAAGATCATGAGTCCTGTGATGAGATAATGGCCCAAAACAAAAGCTAAAAACAAAATGTTCTCTTTAGAAGTTCTTCTATGAGATCTGATCTATGGAAGGAGCTGAAACATGGAGTAGGATCGACCCTTCAAATGTGAGACAGCTGAGGAAGTTAACCAGTAAACAGAAATACCTGCTCCAGTTGCAGAAATCTGACAGAAACTGACAATCACTCATCTGCAGAGACTGATTTAAAAGTTGAACAAGAAAATGTGAAGTTAAAGGAAACATCCTTTGTCCCAAAGTCAGTTTAAGTATCATGAATATTTTGGTTACTTTATTTTTCTTTCTTTATGAATTGATTGTAACTATTTTCACATTATTCAACAACCAACACGGATTTTGGTTTTTAATGTAATGGCTTGGTATTGAAAAACAAATATTTAGTCCTTCCCTCTACCCAGTTATGTTGCTCTTATTTTGAAATGTAACCAAAGTTCTGTGTTAAGAGGCGAAAGAGAAGTTATGGAGACGCCACTAATGTCGAACCGGTTAACACCATAGACATGATATGTCTGTGGTTAATACAATCTGCCATTAACGCCTTGTTTTTCCGTCCGATCAGATGTGGCCCTCCAGATACGCCTTACGTATTTGTCTGCAGTGATACCTACCGGTACTTTGTCTGAATCTGTACTTTTGTACACAGTCAGATCACCCACAGGTGGGTCTTAATTATCAGATGATCTCTGCATGTTCTGATGACTTTCAACACCAGTCCAACCCCTCTAGTGAGGGCCATCACTGATAAAGATAGATAGTTGGATCCTTTATTAATCAGGCTCCTGGCCTCGCACAGTCCTGCAGGTCTGCAGCATGAAGCCGGGGAGGTGACGGCCTGAGAGGGCTCCGATGGAGAGGACCGGGGGACAGGTGGAGCGCCATCCAGCTCGCTCTGAATTTTGTCGTCGGCCACCAAACACAAAAAACGCCTGCACTTCAGCATTAGACCACGGTGTTGTCATTATTGTTTTTAAAATCTTTTAAATAGATCCAGTCGTTCCTCCGAGTTCAAGTTATTGCAAATGGTGGATTGGGTTGTGAAAGTTTCTCAAACAGCTCAAGACTCCACTCCCTGACCAATCAGTGATCGACAGTGTTCTGACATCATGTTTTAAGGCCAGCACGGTACGGTTGGAACCCCAGAGAAGAAGGTACTGAAAAAGGGGCTGGTTCCACAAATAATTGCTAGTGGAAAAAGCCTTGGAACCGTACCAAGCCGAGTTGAACCATGCCGAAAAGGTGCTATGGAAAAGAGGTATAAGTCCTCCCCATGCGGGTCTAGCAGTACATTCCAGTCTGTTGACTCAAAGCAGAGAGCTTCTTCTGCCTCAAGAGACCAAGCTCAGAATGTGTGCATTACCTTAGGTTTGTTCAGAGGCTGTAGGAGAACCAGATTGTGGTCACATTTTTCCAGTGAGGGTAGTGGGGTTGTCCTGTAGGCTTCCCTCGCATTAGCATACATCAATAGTTTGGTTTTTCCTGGTGGGACAGTCCACAAACTGGTGAAAAGAAGTAAGTGTAGAGTCCAGTGTCACATGATTAAAGTCCCCAGAAATTGCAAAGAAAGTCTTGGGGTGTTGTGTTTGTAGCGCTGCAATGATGGAGTGAATGACGTCACACGCCGCCCGCGCGTCCGCCCGCGCGTCCGCCCGCGCGTCCGCCCGCGCGTCCGCCCGCGCGTCCGCCCGCGCGTCCGCCCGCGCGTCCGCC